TGCGGTCGGTCGGTTATGAGTCAATGACCGGTAATAACCGACCGATAACCGACCGTGACCGACCGGACCCACCCCTACTTATGACCCACATAACAGTATATTGTGATTTAATAATTCTGTTTATTTGTAAAACTTTTGATTATTTTATTATTCATTCTCCTTCATTTTCTTTAAATCATTCCAAAAACTTTTTATCATTTATTCCGGCTAACTTTAAAAGTTCTTCGCTAATAATTGGTTTTGCATCATCTGCCAAATCATTATTATTAATAACTTCCATAATTTTACTATAAACCTTGTCTCTATGCGCAATATAGCAACTATTAAAAAATATATTTATTAGGTTAGCACCCAAAGTTAATTAAATATTATGCAAAATATTAAATTAAAATTTACATGTATTCTGGAAACCAATGTTGCCACCTTCGTTGTTGTGGAAAAAGCCAAAAAAGTTCTATTTGAGTCAAGATCTATAATCAAAAAATAGACTTAATGAATTGATTAAATTGAAAAAGGTTATAAAAAAATTATGGTTACTTCAGCTTTTTGTATTAGATATCCAGCTCTATTATCATAAGCTTCAATAGCATTACTTAATAACCCAATAAATAAATTTAACAAGTATATAACAGTAAAAAACGAAAATGCAACCATCAATAAGACTAGAATAGGGTTTGTACTATAATCCCAAGTAGAAAGTGAACTATTATCACCTATATAACAAATACACTTTAATATATATTGAATTTCTTATAAGATATCTAAAATTCCTTACCGGTCATTAATAAATAAACAGCCAAAAGTGAAGTATGGAAATTTGTATATAAAGCTGTATTGACATCAGTTGAATCCAAATCCTCACTTGGTTTTTGAAGTAATATATAAAAAGCATGAGCAAAAGCAAGTATAATCATTCCTAAAACTATTAAATATGAAAACACTTGTTGAGCAACGCCAATAATAATGGCAAAAAAAGTACCAAAATATTCAAACGCTCGTAAAAAGAACAAGAATTTTATATCAAGAAATAGACATGCTAATGAGGGTGCCCAAGGTGGTGGAGGACCATGTAATAACCAATAAATTGAAGTAGCGATAGGCATAATTAATGCTCCTGCATCTAATAGTTATAATGTTAGTATTAAAATCATTTGACATTAAAATTGAATTATACAGGTTAAATTCATGGATAATACCAAAACAATTCCACAAATTAAATAAATATCGTTTCCAGTCGAAAATTAATTGGCGTAATTCAATGTATAAGAGAAAAAACAATCCAATTATAATAGACATCCACAGAAATAATTTTTGAAAAGTGTCTGAAACCAGTCCTTTGGTTTCCGTAACAGCGAGAGAAAATACAATAAGTAAAAGTGTAAAAATAATCCATTCAATATAATAACAGTATTTCCCAAATGTATTCCATTTAAAATTAAGCAGAGCTTCACCAATCCAACTAGAATATAATTCAGGGGTTTGTATTTCAACAAATCCATTTGATGAAGGTCTTCCAAGTATTTCTACCCAAAATGAATAATTGGGTTCATATGTACAAAAACGTGGTAGTGGAACAACTAAATAAATTGAAGGTATAGTTGGTTGTTTATCAACTAATTTTTTTTCAGACAGTTTCTCGTATTGATCTGCATAATATGACTTTAAACGTAAAATAAAATCATATATAAATAAATAAATTCTTGAAATTAAAGTAAGTCTAAACATATGCGGTTCTGTGGTATGTGGGTGAAGGTGAGGATAGGGTTTATAAACTATAGATCGATGACTAGGACTTAATAATAAGGAGTTTTTTGATATGAAATTATTAAAATGGCCAGGGTAACTTTCATGAAGTTCACGTAAATGAGGCGTGATTATTTTAAGAATATTAATTTCATCTGGATTGCTCTTGATTGATTCCATACATTTGTTAAAAACCTGATCAACAAGGTCGATTCTATGCTCTGAGATTGCAGCTACTAAAAGATTTTGTGCATATAATTTGAAAAATGGAATATCTTCGACATGACTCTTGATTAGTTCATTTAATGAATGTTCTGGCATAAAAAATTCAAAGTCGAGATGCTTAATAATAAATTTAAAGTATTCAACAGAAAATAGTTCTTCAGACAGTTTTTCAGATAGTTCTTCAATTAGGCTTTTCGATGGTTCTTTAGATGGTTCTTCAGATGATTCTTCATATGGTTCTTCAGATGTTTCATCTATCTTATAGTCTTTCAAACACTCTATTAAATATTCTGTACTAAAAAAATATTTCATTTGTATTTTATTATTATTATTATCCAGAGCCACGACAATTGTAAATTCTTTTAAGCCTTCATGATACCATTTCGTCATTATCATTAATTCATCATTAGATAATACTCTAAATGCGAGAATATGTAAAGGGTCAAGAGGATTTTTTTTAATAAACATATCAACCACGTTTAATTTAGCAGATTTTGAAGTATCACTTCTAGATGCAGATAATTCCATTTTATTAAATCTTAAATTGAATAAATTTTTAATAAAATATTATGATATTATAGTTGAATATGAAACTTTATATAAATTTAAAACATAATAACAATTTTTTAGTCATTTTATAGATTATTGAAAATATTGAAAGACACTTCTGTTCCAACAACCAAATTAATTATTGTTTTATTACTTCTCTTATAATTAACTAAAATGTATTATTTTAAGTATTATATAGTAAAGAATTAGAAACTTTTAATAAAATAAGTTCTTTTACTAGTTTTTATTGAATAATTTTTTATATTATAATGAATGCATTTTCAAATATTTTTATTTTTAATTACTGTAATTACAAGATGTTCACTAATTCTATATATATTACTAATTATATTTATTTCAATTTTACTTAGCACTAAAACATTAAAAATAGTATCTGTTAAATTATTTGTTATTATAAATAAAAAGCTAAAAAAAGAATTATAAGGCAAAAAAAAGATAAAAAAGTAATATAAAAAAATTAAAGAAGTATTTAAAAAGATAAAAAAATTAATTATATATAAAAAAAGAAAAAAATAATATAAGCAAAAGAGTAAAAAATATAGAAAGAAAAATAAAAAAAATTAAAAAAAAAGAATAAAAAATGATTTATAAAAAATAAAAAAAATAATATAGATAATATGCACAAGTAGATAAAGCAATATAACAAATAATATAAAGCAGTATGATGCAAGAGAATAGAGAAAGCAATATAAACTAAAAATGCAAATAAAGAATTATAGTACTATTTTATACTTTTCTCTTTATTATTATTATTATTTGACCTTTAATTTAATTATTTATTTAATATATTTAACTTAGCACATATTTGATACTGTTAATTTATATAATCATTTATTTATTTTAGCTTGAATACCAATTTAATGCAATTATTTATTTTGGCATTTAATGTATTTAACTTAATTATATATTTAACTTTATTACTTAATATATTCATTATTTAATTTAATTAAATACTATTAATTTGTTTATTTTATATTTAGAGTACTCTTAAGCATCTCTCTTAATATAATTAGCTAGTTATTATGATTATGCACAAATATTACAATTAATTAAGATAATTCTTATAATAAAATTTATATCACAAATGTAGATATTAAATTTTAGTTAATTAATATAACTTTATAATAAAAAAAAACATCTGAAATTAATATGAACACTTTAATTTTAGACTAAGTACTAATTAAATATATTTAGCTTGATTATATATTTGATATTATCTAATATAATTATTA